CCATGAAGTGGAAATGCTATGTTATACTATTATAATGCTCTGGATTGATTCTTTCTCTAGGCTGATAGAAGGTAGAATGTCTTTATGCTGAGTTGATTTGTTTATTTCATGTATTGATAGGACTTTATCCAAATGTTGTGTTACAGGAGCTGGGGGATACAGTGCCATGTTGATAACTGTATTAGTTATATTATATGTAAGGATGGGAACAACCACAAATGTCCACTAAACGGTAGCACTGGGGGCTCTGTTCGCCATCGCAAGTTGTGTTGGTTTAAACTAATATGGTGTTGGGTATAATTTTTCTATTTTAGCAACTGGTGTCACGAGATGGACATTGCTGAGTATGATGATGAGAGAAGTGTGTGAAAACCCAAGAATAACTTATCTGATGGGGAGATTCCAAGAGAAAATATTAAATTAGTTGAATGTCAGTAATTAAAATAAAGTTGTGTGGGAGTAAAATTGCAATGTAATGTAGTAAGTAATTAGGACTGGGAAATAGAATGAATGTTCATGTATAGCACCTAGTTGATATTGTTAGGTTAAAAGTATGTTGGAATATGCTATGTTGTTAGAAATATGTTGGATTTGTGAAAATGTTTGAAGCTAATGGGATTAGCTTGAATGGGGAGGGGGGGGGGGGGGGTAATGTTATGATGTATGTTTTAGTAGATATTAACTTGAGTGCAGGTTGGTGCGAATACCATAGTGAACACATTGGTATGATGACACGATTGAAAGTTAGTGACGTAATTGTGTAGATAGTTGGTTGCTATGAGTTTATGTGTGAGTGAGTCTAATCTTGATCGTCGGTGTGAAAGGACGTGTACTGGTCTGTATGCCTCAAGTTGGGAGATAGATAGATCTATATTTAAGAATAAATTGTCAGAATAGGAATATTGAGTTTGTCTTATCTCAGATGTTGGACCCTCTCACTGCAAGCCTAAGCGTAACACTAGGGTGCAGACAAAATCCCTCTTTGGTAGATGGATTAACTTACTAATCAAATTAATATAATTATCCTAATATTTATTCTAGTATGTGTATGAATTGATGATACTTTTAGTAGCCTAGTTTGAATATCAAATTTCAACTAATTCCTGAGGTGGCTAAACATAAGTAGTAGATCTTTATTGATACCTTTTTCTTTTTTAAAAATTATATATACATGACTTTTGACTCTTTTGAAGGCCTATTGTATTTAATGACAAACTCCTTACATTAAAATATTAAAAGTAAACTATTAGACCTATATTTTTAATGAATGGTCATAGTTAGATAGCCCATACAATCCAATACATAAATACACATCATTGCTTTATGATTTTTATAAGACAGACAAATATTTTTATTTATAACATTAAGAGTTGAAAGTATGTAAACATAATGAGTTTAATATAACAGGTTATAAAATTTATTTATGTTTTTTTTTTAGATATTGTGGATTACACAACTGCAAACAGAGAAAACAAAAGTCAAGATGAAGTTCAATTTAAAACTGATCCAAGGATACATGTTAGACCCAAGAAAACTTTTTCATATTGAACAACTATTTTTACTTTCTCGTATATACGAAGTATAGAGAAAGTCTTGTAATCGTGCACAAAAATCACATTAAATTTGGACAGTTTTCACCGTTTTACTCCTCAGTCCTTCATCACATCCGGGATATAGAAGACTTATTTTAATCGGGCAAAATCTATAAACTCAGATATATAAAAATTTTGGCGTTTTATGCGTAATGGAGTTGGACAAACTGGAATATCCAATTCTGTCCGTGTGTGTGTCCGTGTGTAAACACGATAACTTGAATACCGTTACAGCTAGGTTGATGAAATTTCATATATAAGTATTTTATCAAAATCGTAGATCCGTATCAACTTTTGAGCGATTTCCGATAACCGGAAGTGATACTTTTTCTACTTTGAATTTTTCAAAAGCCTATAACTTGAGTTCTATTTCAGATAGATAAATGAAATTTGATATGTAAGTAGAAGATCTAATTCTCTACCTTCTGTCAAATTTTGAGTAATTTCCGTTTATCGGAAGTATTTATTTACGCTACTTCCGATTTCTCAAAAACGCATGTAAATTTATAAAGTACTAATAATATTGCGCACTATTATGCACATCTTTATTTAGCGTTCACTTGGTGTGCATTTCTTTTTTCTATGAGATTATATTCTATGTCTAAAAATTTGAGTATTTAAAATGGATTAAAAATCATGTCTAGAAGTCTATATCCCGAGTTGCCATCCCCCGTAGTGTTATATTAGAATATTCGAGAAAGTTTAGGGGAGATCACTCCCGGTTTATTTTATATTATATCTGAATGAATATGGTAAATAAAAACAGAAAATTATTGACTTTGTCATTTTTATTTTTTTTTAGCACTGGTTGTGTGTGCTGGTGTATGTGGAAACTAATTATTGCTACCTTAATTCAATAGTTAACTTAAACTGTCGAACTAAAATAGTTTTTAAGAATATGGTGCTGAAGTAGATTTCACCGAGTTTTGTTGCCTCTACATATTAATAAATTGTATGGTCAGCAAAATGTCAAACAGCTTTTACTGTCCATAACCAGTCAGGTACCAGTTAAAGCTGCTTTGAATTTGAATCAGAGACAACCTAAATGATTAAAATTTCAACTCAAGAACTTTTGCTTTAGCAAATGTTTTCACAAATATGTAGTCCCACTATAAGTCTTACATTTGCATAGTATTTTGTAACTATTACAATAATGTTACAAATAAAACAGTACTATATCTATCATAGCTCTAAAACATAATGATAAGGGAAGAATCAAGAATAAAAATGTTTGGTAAAATACTATTACTATTATATTATTAGTAATTTAGTGTTTAAATATTTCTAGCCCTAGTAAAAACCGGAAGTTACTTTGTACTTACTTCACAAATGTAATAAGATATAAATATTCAATTTTGATTAAAAAAATATGCTTTCTGGCAACAAAAAGTGGAACCACTTTTCCTACCTATTGTAAAGCAAAAAATCAGTTTGTAGTAACTTCGGCTGAAGTGTATGCCTACCATTGGAAGGCGGGTAAAACAAATCTGTTGTGTGAATTACCCAACCTAAGAAACATTATATTTTCATAAGTTACTAGCCGTCGGTATATGTTACTTGTGAATTATAGGCCTATATATTTTAATGTTATTCTAAATGTTTGAGAAAATATGTAATACAATTTTTTTGTTCAAATCGCAGTGTGCTTTACTACATGATGAACGATATTAGTGACAAAGCAAAGAACTAACTTAATAGCTAATAACCCGGGAGTGATCTCCCCTAAACTTTTTCGAATATTCTTATATAAAAGTACGTGGGAAGGCAACTCGGAATATAGACATGATTTTTAATTACTTAAACTTTTAAAATAAAATAGACTCTCGTAGACAAAAGAATTGCGCACCAAGCGAACGCCAAAACAAAATGTACATAATAGTGCGGAATATTATTAGCACTTTTAAATTTACATGCACTTTTTTGAGAAATCGGAAATAGCGTAAATTACTACTTCTGTTCAACGGAAATTACTCGAAATTTGATAGAAGGTAGAAGATTAGATCTTTTACATACGTGTGAAATTTTATTTATCTATCTGAAATAGTACTCAAATTATAGGCTTTTGAAAAATTCAAAGTAAAAAAGTACCACTTCCGGTTATTGGAAATCGCTCGAAAGTTGAAACCGATCTACGGTTTTGATAAAATACTTATTTATGAAATTTCATCAACCTAGCTGTAACGGTACTCAAGTTATGGTGTTTAAAGACACACGGACACACAGACACACATACACACAGAGACATACGGACAAGATTGCAAAAATATGTTTTTCCGACTCAAGACTTTCTCTATACTTCGTATATACGAGAAAGTAAAAATCCGACACATTAAAAATAACATAGGCAACCAATAACTTTTACAAAAAAACCAAATTAAAAACATTATTAGTCAACACAACATCATATTAAATGCACCTACTGAATAAGATATTTAAATGGTTCCGTTAAAATCCCGGCTGTTCAATTGCATTGTTTTTGTTCTATTTTTAAGTTATTTGTATTACTATTGGCCGAGAAAATAGTGTACATTTCATAGAGTGCGTCTTGATAAGTAGATATAAAGATCTAAATCAAATTTGAATGAAATATTTCATTTTTTCATATTCTAAAATTTGAAGATGACACCATTAGTTGTGTTTACTTTCCGTAGTTTAAAACATATGACTTGTGACGTCATTGTTTTTAACGTTATTGGCACAACAATAAACACTTTTCCGGTTGCATGTGCTTCTATATTCGAATATGCCACTATTTTTATTTTCGTACTTCAATTAAAATTTAGTTTATACATTTAAATATTTTCAACAAAAGTCCTTATCAAGTTCTCCATATATCGTTGAAGATAATGATATCATAACCTCTGAAAATATTTTGCGCACAGAGAGAGTAAAAGAGAGAAGTACGCACTTGGACTTTTATATATTTAGATACTTATGCCTTTTATGCCTAGACTAGTTTGGACCTAGTTTTTAAATAATTACTAACCCCCAACTAAGATTTACTTTTTTTTGCTTTATGTAATTTATCTTGGAAAAGCTCTTATTAATTTTATTCACACGAATGTTCCTATATCATTTACATCTGTGCTTTCAGAGGACAGATTGGATATCATCAAGTGTACTTCAGTCATACATAGATGGTGTTTGTGGTCATAGTGAAAAAATGGTCTGATAAAGTAAACACATTAGTGCTGAACATGTTAACGTTATTACTTTTTTAACCATGTGCTTGTAATTAATGTTTTTTTTTGTTTTAATTACTGTGCTTGTCTTTTCAATAATTACACATCAAAACAATGACTATTTGGTCTACTTTGCAAGATAGATTCAATGTAAAAATAAACTGTTTATAATACTCGACGTCTTTTTGTTTTACACATTACCAACGTTTCCCTACATTTGACTTACCGACGCTATGTTGCAAAAGTTCTGATTCTTCAGTAGCCGTGCTGAAACTTATTTAAGTGTATTTTTAAATAAATTACAAAATATATATTTCTTAAATAGTGTTTAGAATTACGTAAGGCTACAAGATATTTGTAGTTAAAAAAATATGTATCTTAAAAACAAAGTCAATATACATAAACTTTGAGATGTATGACATAAAGTCAAACATTAGACACTTACTGTTCTTGGATCGGAACTACTTGATCTGGTGAGTAAACAAAATATGTTAAGACAAACAATACTAAATTTAAGTGTACTTGTATTCATTTGAAATGTTTGTCACTATTACAGTTATTTATTATTACTAATATAAGCTAATGGCTTGTACTTTGCATTGTGTTAAGCTTTCGATCAGGTTAAAGATATGTTTGGACTCCCGACTATAATGTTTTAGATGTAGTCTATCCGTAGAGAATGTGGATACAATCGTGCTGGTCTCTATGTGTTAAAAACTTGACTAAAATTGTATGGGTGGCCTTGTTTTTCTTTAAAGTTATATCAATATTTGTAAAGTATTAAAAATGTATTAAATCATTACGGATATAGAAACTCTGTATCAGCATCATCAATTTATTACAACTTTTTTATTTAACTCACTTCAGTCGTCAGTCTATCTAGATCGAAACGCCCGAGCGAAATTGCAGGCACTTCTAACTAAACGATACGATTCGTATTTGTTACTTGGGTCAAGACATGAAGACAATGCAACATGACATTTAATTTGACTTAATTGGTTGCCTGATTAACTTTTTATGAATTAAAATTTTGTCCAAATTAGTAGGCTGTCTCAACAAATTATTCCGCGCTATTAGACACGCGTCATTACGTTCAATACGTGCGCAATGGTTTTTAGTCATGCACCTCTAATGTAAATAAAACATGTAAAGTGTTAACAAAATTTCATAAACGTTTTAATAACAAGCTTTTATGTAATAATGCATTAAAAAGTAGAAAATAATTTAAACACTACTAATTAAATTATTATAAAGAAAAGCGTGGTTCTCTTCCTAAATATTAGTAAATGTATCCAATAGATACTAAAGTGACCCACGCTTTTCTTTATAGTAATGTAAATAGTAATGTATTGTTTTATTTTCTATTTTTAGTGAATTATTACATGAAAGCTTGTTATTTAAACGTTTTTTCTATGAAATTTTTTAAAATTATTTTTTAGGGAATAAATCGCTTTTCTATCCAATCATAAATATGACAGTGGATATACTATTCCAAAATCCAAACACTGTTTTTATCTCAATCCCTAAACATATTAATACCTATATTTATAACCCTAACTTAAAATATCTCTATTGCTATCGCTATCACTAATTAAAATATGGAGTCTGAGTCTTATTCTTAGTATTTTTTCTAATCGTAGTCCTATTCATATCCCAAAACCCATTCTCATAATCATGCCTACTTCTGTCCCCATCACCACATTTATCCTTCCCTCCTTTCTTTCATCCTAGTATTTACCTTTAACATTATCTTTATATATTGTTCTATTTCTATTTCGATCTCGATCACAATTGAAATTGATCTATCTAACTGATAGTTCATGTTAAAACATAGTCAAAATAGTTTTTTAAGATGCTATAACGTCATCTTGTAAGAGCCGAAAGCTTTGAAATACTAGCCTAAGGTTCATCATGTCATTTAATATCGTGCGAAGAGTGTAAACTATGTATAAAAACCTAAAACCGCATCCGTTGTCGTAGAATTAAAGTTTAATTGACTCGTTCAAAATAGGAATGCTTCAGAATTTATGTTAACATCTATTTTTCAAATTATACATTATAAAAGTGTTCCTTTTTCAGTTGTACTATATTTAATTCATTTTACCGCTGTTGAGCTTTACTTTAAAATGTTATGTGCGATATTTTTTCTATTTTAAAATATGTTAAAAATATGTTAATATTTTGCAATTGATTTGATTATAATGTTAAAAAAGATATGTATTATTTAATTACAATTTTCAGAGATAAGGTTAAGCCGTTTTTAATTCGAGTTTGAATCATTGTTTGAATTTAACCTCAGATTTGCTTATTTACTACTTCCCGCGTGAAATACAAAGTTCACACATTTATTATCAAAATTCTCGTTCTATTTTTTTTCTTAAATGTCAGGGCATTTAATTATAGCATATTCAAAGAGCAATATGTAAGTAATGCGTAATAAAAGTAGGTTGTGGTTTGCAAAAACCAAAATAATTTTGTTTTTTTATTTCGTAATTATTTAGTAAATAAATGTAAACAATTTTTGCTATTGTCGTGTAATGTTTCAAAATAGTAACAGTTTGAAAATTTAAAAATAATTTTTCTAGAGTATTTGTTTTATGAAAAAAATAGCCAGCTGACTCTCTTTGTATTAGTAAAAGAAGGATCGATTACTATCTGGCAGATATATACGTTAATTTATGAAATTTTAGAGCTCCACATAAGGGTGTTTTTTTTCAAGATAGCCGCCGTTGCAAATAAACCATATTTTTAAAAGAGTCAATGATGCATGCAGATATTTTATTTTAAGTACCCTAACAAATAAATAAATAAAACATACTACTTAAAAAAGTCTTGTTTTCTGGAGCCTATCCCCTAACTTAAGTGATGAAAATATATTTTTTAATTCTATTATGGTCGTCAATTAACTTTCGAATAATGTTTACCTTTTTTTCTCCTTTTCTTGCGTCGATACATTCTACAAAAACACATCACATTAACTACGATGGAAAGTATCAAAACTGCCAGCACGGTAAACATTCCTATTTCATAACCATCGTCAACAGTTGTATTCCCTTCATAAAAAAAAGTTTACAGTCTATTACACTGTGTGCATGCAATACATATTAAATATTTTATTACATTTAATAATTATTAATAAATAACATCTGAAACATTCACATTTAAGACTATCAAAACATTAATTAGTTAATTAACGAAAAGAATGAAGATAGTTGTGTGCTAAAGGTTTAGTTTGAGATAAATTAAACGTGTTTCCTATAGGCCAATATATTAAAGCTTAATAAGTCAAAAATTATAAAATATTAGGCAAATTTTATTTCTTTATTTTCCAACAATAAATCATTGTTATTTAGAAAAAAAAACCTTACCTATAATTTGTAATTTAGCCTCCACTACATCAGCGTTGTTATCATAAATTTTGAGAGTATAGGTACCAAAATCTACACTCTCAATGTTAAAAATAGTTAATGTGATTTTGTTATGTGTTTCAGTCAGAGGCCTAAATTGAATGAGGTATCGACCACTTGCAGCGTTTTCATCTTTATCTTTATACATCAATATAGGCTTATTCCAACCATTTTTATTAATTTCATACTTTGTTATTGTTGTGTTTCCCATACTCAGCTCAAAATATATGCTAAAGTTTTCACCAGTGCCAGCGTAGATTCGTTGAATATTAGAACCGGTTGTGATGATTTGTTCTAGCCAGTGATCGCCTGCAGGGTTTTTAAAGTTAAAAAAATACATAACTTTAATATAATAAAGCATTAATACATTAATAATTATTCTATTGTTTAAACACTATTATAACTTTTTTTAAAATTAGTAATCCAAAATAGCTTACATGGGACAGTTACATGCACGTATTGTCTGGAGATTTGATTGGGAAAAATCTCATTGAACGCCTGACATGTGTAGGTCCCCGTGTCATCGCAGGTCAAAAGTTTCGATGTACCGTCCAGTCGTTGACCTGAGCTGTCAGTGATGTAAACTGTACCACGTGGTTTGCTGTCCACCTCGCAGTTAAACTCCACAACCGTGCCGTTCACAACATTGATGTCTCTTTCTCCGTTTGCGGTGAACAGTGTTACTTTAGCGGCATCTGAGGGTTAAGCCGTTATGTTTTAAATGCTACGACGAGTTAAATGGCTTAAATTTAAAAAAAAATAATAGAAACTAACAAAATATATCCTTATCATAGAATTCTATTTCCATGTTCAAATCTCACATAATTATAGATAATTATAACATTTTCAGAAAAAAAGTTTTAAAACCTTGTCAGTGTATTGTAAACTATAGAAATGGTACCTCTTTTCATTTATACCTGCAAAATTAGGTACATATATAATGTTGTATACTTTTCCAGAATGGCTGGTTACTTGACATAAAAACCTAGTGTCCTTACCTGAGAAAAATACGTTATCAAAGTATTGTTTACAAACAACAAATCTTTTGTGTTATATATATATACTAGGCATGCTGCCCAGCTTCGCTTAGGCTTTCGAAAACATTGAGAATTTGAATGCTTAATTAATTCGCCCGAAGGTCGGTCTACGACCTCAAGAGTTATGAAGAGGTTCCTCCGTGGACATTTTTTTTCGATTTATAGCTCATATAAGGTACCGGTCAGTCGAGGTCAGTTTTGACCCCCACATCGTAGACTTTTCGGCCAACCGGCCCCCGTGTTCTGTCGCACCAAGGCAAGATCATGCCAAATTTGAAGCGCCTGCGGCGCCAGGAAGTGCCCTATCGGACACCCGACAATCTAGATCTAGATCTAGATTTCTAAAAGAATTTTTTTTTAAAGTTTAGCCCGAGCATAATAAAAAATAATACATTAACCAAGTTGACTTGCTAGGTCTCGAACCCGCACCACCTGCGTGGTTTAATGTACACTAACACCTCCGCTATTTAGGCACCTTATAAAATACGGAGAATGAAACACGTATTTTAAAATCTTAACTTACGCGAATATGCCTATTCTTTCAAATTAATTTTTTTATCCCAAATTAGCCAGTTCCAAACAAAGATTTTGTATAAAATAAATAAGTCTTGAAATAGTTTAGTCCTAATATAGAAATTTATTTTTGGAATTGATTTTAGAGAAGTTAGAGTCTAAATCTAGATCTTAGCGTCTACGTCTAGATCTAGTTATTGCGTAGATTTAGATTTAGATTTAGTCTAGATCTAGAATCTCTAGATCTAGAATCCAAATACATAAAATAAATGTTATGAGTTTAGGCCGGAAAAATTGTATTGTATACATTTCATAGTGTACGTAGATCTAAATCAAATTTGAATGAAATAGTTCATTTCTTTTCATTCTAAACACGGCAGATGACGTCATTAGTTAATGTATAAGCAATAGTGACGTCACAGTTTTATGCGTTCTTTTTCACATATATTAATGCTTTTCCGGTTGCATAAATAATACTGTTTCCCTACATTCGAATACGCCTTTAATTTTTATTTTTCTTCTTTAACTAAAATTGTGGTTATACATTTAAAACATCTAACATATTATTTTCAACAAAAGTCCGTAAAAAATTCTCGATATATCGCTGCCGATTCTGACGTGATGTCCGGCGAAAATTTTTTGCGGACAGAGAAAGAGAGAGAGAGAGAGAGAGAGAGAGATGTGCGCACATTGGGCTTTTATATATTAGGATATATATATATATATATATATATATATATATATATATATATATATATATATATATATATATATATATATATATATATATATATATGTGTGTGTGTATATCAGAGGTGTCGGAAGTGTGCCGACCGCACGGGGTGACAACATTAAGGGGGTTACACCGTAACAAACAATTGCTAAAAATATAGAAGAAACAAGATGTTGCCAGTTCGAATTATGATCGACCTGTATTAATAACTGACTATAGATTACTATATTTATTATTAATTATGCCAACTTTAAAACTATCATAGGGGGAGGGTGACACCAACAGCAAAACTTAGAGAGGAATAAAGGCTTGCTGAGTATTTTGAATAAATAGTAAGTAAATAAACGACAAGAGAGGGGAGACACAAAATTTAATAACTGACTATTAAAAAGATGCTTTTTCCCAATAAATGATAAATGAATTAGTATATTGTGCGCCAAAATTAACGCCACTAGGCAAAATGGGTAGGGCATGTCGCCAATTTCAACTATATATATACACATAAACTTATGTAGTCCTTAATATATATATATATATATATATATATATATATACATATATATACATATAAATAAATAAATAAATAAATAAATATATATATATATATATATATATATATATATATATATATATATATATATATATATATATATATATATATATATATATATCTGCGAAGTCCGGAGGCAACAACCCTCAATCCGTACAGGAATTCAACAAAACAAACGTCAACTTGTGCTTCAATGTCGGGTCTATCTGTGTTGGGGATTTTATTTTCTTTAGGTGCAAGGGCGAAAAGTCGACGGCCTTCTATACTGGAATAGTAAAGAAACTGATGGACGAAGAAGGGGACTTTGAGGTTGAATACCTTAAAAGAAGTGAAAAACAAATTCATAAACTTTGAAACTGACCAAGTATAGTCTGTGAATAAAAAATACACTATTACTTTGCTGCCTAAGTCTGACATTTCTGGGATAAAACGCTCCAAGAGTTAATTGAAGACATCGTGAAATATGTTGCCTAAATATTTTTTAACTGTTAACTGAAAGACAGCGTTACACTTCTTTCCAATTTTAGTACAGTCCTGTATTAATATCTTTGGCCACTGTCCTCCTTATGGCACTGTGTTATGTCTGCGGCTCTTCCCGTGTCCACAATAAAAAAGTTAATCTTTTACTGTTTGAATTCAATCTTAAGTAAATTTTGTAATAACTACAAATCTGGTCCATTTATATATATATATATATATATATATATATATATATATATATATATATATATATATATATATATAAGCCTATATCATCTAAACATTCATTAATATTCATGATTCTTAAGGGAAATTATTTTCAAATGAAAAAATGTTTTTTTTGGGATCAAATAGATTCAACCATATATCATTTGAACATGTGTGACTTTTCACCCCAAGCATGTGACTTTTTGACCCCGCACTGTGATAAAATGTCACATTCTAAAACACCATTTCTCAAGTCTGTCATGGGCATACCGTGAACAGATATTTTAAACGGCTCTGCATACAATTATCTGAAATGTGGAACTAGTATCTGGTGTATTGGTATTGTTAAAGGTTCAAAATTCTTGTCTCCAGATCCTAAAAAGTGAAATTTGTGACTTTTCACCCACTTCTCCCCTATACACACACATGATTATATATTTATATATATATATATATATATATATATATATATATATATATATATATATATATATATATATATATGTATAACTTATTCATGAGACAATTTAAATTTAAGAAACGAAGAAATCTTAGTTAATACGTTTGAGAAACGTATTTCAAATAGTATAACTTCTTGGTATGGTTAAAAAGCAGTAAAAAACTATTTTAAAAACACTTCATGATGTTTAAATCGTACGTAAATTTAATTACCGTCTTCGTAAACAATGGGCACTGTTTCCATATGGAAAAATCTCTCAGGATGATCGGCATAATACCAAGTAACATCAATTGTACTATTATCAATGTCTCTCATTTCACAGGTACAGTGGATGGTCTCATTGGGCCAGAACACGTTGTCCTCTCTCACAGAAAAACATTTATCTGACAGGGTTGGTTTTGGAGCGTCTAAATATAAATATAAATATAAATATAAACATAAACATGAACACGAACACGAACACGAACACCAACACGAACACCAACACCAACAGAAACAGAAACAGAAACAGAAACACAAACAAAAACACAAACACAAACACAACACAACACAAACACAACCACAAACACAACCACAAACACAAACATAAACACAAACACAAACACAAAAAAACACAAACACAAATACAAATACAAATTATAAAATACAAACACAAATACAAATACAAATTATAAAATACAAATACACGTACAAATACAAATACAAATACACATACACATGCACATACACATACACATACACATACACATACACATACACATACACATACTCATACACATACACATACACATACACATACACATACACATACACATACACATACACATACACATACACATACACATACACATACACATACACATACACATACACATACACATACACATACACATACACATACACATACACATACACATACACATACACATACACATACACATACACATACACATACACATACACATACACATACACATACACATACACATACACATACACATACACATACACATACACATACACATACACATACACATACACATACACATACACATACACATACACATACACATACACATACACATACACATACACATACACATACACATACACATACACATACACATACACATACACATACACATACACATACACATACACATACACATACACATACACATACACATACACATACACATACACATACACATACACATACACATACACATACACATACACATACACATACACATACACATACACATACACATACACATACACATACACATACACATACACATACACATACACATACACATACACATACACATACACATACACATACACATACACATACACATACACATACACATACACATACACATACACATACACATACACATATACATATACATATACATATACATATACATATACATATACATATACATATACATATACATATACATATACATATACATATACATATACATATACATATACATATACATATACATATACATATACATATACATATACATATACATATACATATACATATACATATACATATACATATACATATACATATACATATACATATACATATACATATACATATACATATACATATACATATACATATACATATACATATACATATACATATACATATACATATACATATACATATACATATACATATACATATACATATACATATACATATACATATACATATACATATACATATACATATACATATACATATACATATACATATACATATACATATACATATACATATACATATACATATACATATACATATACATATACATATACAAAGACATATACATATACATATACATATACATATACATATACATATACATATACATATACATATACATATACAAAGACATATACATATACATATACATATACATATACATATACATATAAATATACATATACATATACATATACATATACATATACATATACATACACATACACATACACATACACATATACATACACATATACATGAAAATACAAATAAATACATTATTTAAAATATATCAAGAAGTATATCATAAGTATCTCGTTCTTCAGAAATATTAAGACATTGTAACGACAACCACCTGTACCACCACCAAGGGTTTGACCTTACGTGTAATCATAAACCTGGCCGTGGTAGACCTGGGGTCTGGCAGACCACAACGCTGATTTGATTCAACGCTGTGGGCGGTGCATAATTTGGGGCTTGGGAACTCGGGTGTTAAACGTGGGTAAAAGCTAATATATTACCCTGTGACTTTACGGGCTGACAGATTGCGTGAGGCCGTTTTTTTTTGTTGCTGTGGAAAACTTTCCTGATCGGACTGGACCGAGTCATGCCCAGGCCCTAATTAAGATTTGAAATATACTAGTGCAAGAGATACCACGGTGAATTCATTATTAATTCTTGTTCATTGTCAAGTCAGACATGACCATTGGCAGGTTCCTGATCACGATTCCCCGCCTTGTTCGAAAGGATTAGAGAAGTGGGGCGTAACAGCAAACATATTCGTAAACGGCTAATCATCTAGTCCGAGTCATGGATATGTTGAAAAATGTTTACACCGGAACCTGGTTTACACAGTCATGAATGCTAACATTTAAAAACATTAACGGGAACTGCTTAACCCCTTTGGATTGAATTAAGAACAATGCGTATAAGTAAATTTTTATCAATATCATCCACGATCATCATTTATTCTAAATAAAACTCCAATAACTTTTTTTTAAAAATAGCTCTCATTTCTTTTAGTACATATACAAGTAACCTGCAATAGTAGCCTACATTAATAGTGCGTAGTAGGGTTAGTTTAAAAGATAGATTACATTAGTAGTGAGAATGTACTTTAAAAAACAATTAAGTATATAAACTGTTATACTTAGAAAAATGGAGACTTGATTGCTATCAACTGTTTTATTAAAGTCCATTGACACTTTAAGGAAAAATGTCAAATTTCGAGCTGAATCATCTTGTATTGGGTACGTTAAACCGCAATCAATGTTAAAATATATTGGCTCATCTATTGACATTGTTAGCCGATAAAATGATGCTTGTAATTCTACCTGTTTAAACAGAACAACATTTATTTTCATATAAAAATAATACATAAAAGTACTATTTCTAAATGTATATATATATATATATATATATATATATATATATATATATATATGTATATATATATATATATTAGATAAATGGGCCATTGAGGGAGAAATACAACGGACGCTAGGTTGATAATGTTGTCTTTTTCTCTAAAACAAAACCAAAAACCAAAATCACCACCTCAACTTAAAATTTAACTGGAAAAGAAAAAAAATTAATTAAAAATGGATTTATATAAAAAATTGGCATTTTAACAGGATTTAACCTTGATCTGTACGTAGTTACTGCACATTGATACCAAATTTAGTCGTAGCCATACACCTAAACCATGCACCCAAGTTCAAACTTTACAAAAGTCGTATTTAGAGTTTCTTTCAGGCAACTCTTCGTCTACCACCACTATAAAGAAATATAATTATTTAGAAAATATACTTTTATATGTAATGCACCGTAACGTAAAATATATTTCGTCACAAGTCAAAGGTGCGGTCCACATCCGTTAACACCATTTAGTCCATGACGGATATTTGTAAAATGTACTGTCAAAATGTTTTGTCCAGTTAAAATACTAAAAGATTAGAAAGAGAGGGGTGACAGCCCACCGAAAATGCAAAGTTTTTGGGGGAAGGAGGAGATCTATTTTTTTAGCTGGCCAAGTTACTGACCCAATAGGCATATTTACAATTTGTTTCATAATATTATTATAATATGCAAATAATCAGATTTAAAAAATCTCAAAGAAGTTTTATACGGCCTACCCGTCCGCACTGTTGCACCATAGTCGTATATATTAGGGAGACAGAAGGGAAATGCAGGTTTCTGGGTGGTGGTGGTGGTGGGAGGGAGTTTCCCACTCAGTTGAGGTTTTTAGCGATACGTGAAAATGTACGGGTGCTGGATGTCGTATCTCACATTCAAATTTTATAGGCTGATTCACTGCATTGCTTACCAAAACTGCGGCAGCAATTGTGATCTTATTAATATGGAGTGGTCCCTTATCGACGCCACCCCCCCCCCCTCCCAAAACTCAGCGCTTGCGGTGTTATTTTTACGTGATGGGCCCTTTTCGGCACCACCCCTCCCCCAATTTCAGCGTTGGTCGTGTTATTAATACGGGGGGGGGGGTCCTGTTCGACGCCCCCCCCCCACATACACACTGAATGACACTGCCTGTACACTATGAAAGGACTTGGGGCCTTTTTGACATTTTTAATCATTTCTACAGTAGAAAAAAAAACTTGATTTCCAAGAAGGAAAAGGGCCCCCAAGTGCATTGGGCCCCTATGCCTTGCTTACTCTAGCTTTACGGTAGCTACGTTACTGTCCTACTTCTATAATCTAGACCCGTTTCCTACTTTTGGCCCTCTAAACCTAAATCATACAGATAGTGTTTATTTCAGAATTTTTCTCCGGGCTGGGGCACTCGAAATTTTTTGTGATTAGTGTTAGGGTGGCGGACTAAATTATCAGGTGGTTGGACTGACACTGTTAAAAGTATACATTTTTTATGTAAATTCTATTTCGATCGGGGGGTGGGTTCGGTAGACGTTCTACGGGGGGGGGGGGAGGGTTGCCCCTCCCCGAAGTGATACCTGAAAGAAACCCTGCATGGAGACCACTTTTAAGTTTAGACAAATAAATTTGGCGGTAATTTTAGCGTCTGTATTATAAACTATCGATGACGTGATTATTATTGTGTATTTATTTCGGCATTGGCTTCTTGATTCTGTTTGCTTTATAATCATTGACGTCATTTTATTGAGTGTGCTTTTCCGGCTTTAAAATTGTACATATTTGTTTCGTTTTGAAAACTTTCATATGGTCCATGTACGATCTTCCACTATGCAGTTTTCCAATTTCCTTATATTTTCTCTAGAGCGTTATCGACAGACATACAGCAAAACTATTATAGTTAATAATCTATAATAAAAATAATACTATATATTGGATACCTGTACTAATATTTAGGAAAGGTCACACGCTTTTCTTTATAGTTATTTAAATAATATTGTATTATTATATATTTAAATAAAATCATTTAATTTCTCATTTTTAGTGATTTATTACATAAATGCTTGTTATTAAAACGTTTTTTATGAAGAAAAAAAAATCAGTAGGCCTACTTTAAAACTGTTAATACAATAGGCTAGAATTGTATGATTAAAAACAAGTGTGCACCACATGAACATGATAATGCTCGTATTGCAGTGCGGAATAGTATAGTGAGACCGCCTACTTGTTTAAGAAAATGTTAATTAATTAACAAAAATAATTTGTCATCCAATTAATTCAAATTTTGTGTCATGTTGCATTGCCTTCGAGTCTTAAAACACTTGCGAACCTTGATACGGATCTGCCAGTTAGAAGTACCTAAATTTTTCGCTAGTCCGTTTTGATGCAAGACAACAGACAGACTGACGACAGAGGAATCTTGTTAAATAATAGCTTGTAGAAAAAGTAAGTAAAGTTGATTGATTTCTCATAAGCACTAACAAACTGAAAGTAACCTGTATTAGTTTTTAAATATAATAGTTAAGCAACAACAGTTATAAGAACTACAGACAGACGGAGGGAAAGACAGACGGATGGAATACGATAAGGCAGATAGACAGACAGACAGACAGACAGACGGACAGAAGGACAGACAGACGGACAGACAGACAGACAGACAGACAGACAGACAGACAGACAGACAGACAGACAGACAGACAGACAGACAGACAGACAGACAGACAGACAGACAGACAGACAGACAGACAGACAGACAGACAGAGACAGACAGACAGAGACGAGACAGACAGACAGACAGACAGACAGACAGACAGACAGACAGACAGACAGACAGACAGACAGACATACAGAAAGACAGACAGACAGACAGACAGACAGACAGACAGAGACAGACAGACAGACAGACAGAGACGAGACAGACAGACAGACAGACAGACAGACAGACAGACAGACAATTCTTTCAAATACTATGTATATATCGATAGTTATATAGTGTAATAACTGTTTAGAAAAAGAAAAAAAACCACTTAAATTAATATTATTGTCTATTAAGGTAATCCCTATAATTAAAATGTATTTACATCTTTGTTCAATGGTATTCTTCTGAAAAAAGTGCATTTGACTTTGGGGAAAAAATTCGAAGCTGAACAATTTACAACCACAACGTACTGGTTTCCTACTTGTCTCAGCTCTGGTGACTTGCACGTCACTTGATCTGGGAGATCTGTAAAGCATATTTACACTAGTAAAATTGTTATCTTTATATTCGCTCTATTAGTTTAACAAAGTATGGATAATTATTCATTGACTCTGGGTTTTACCGCATGTATATAGCCATGTGTACCATAGTTATGTTATAGAATAATAGTTTTAATGTCAATAATCTATGTTCATTAAAATTAATGAAGGTATTTCCTTCTCAAAAACCGAAAATAGTTAAAGTAAATTATGTGAAATTAAATCCAAACTCAGTACGACAATTTTAATTGACATAATAAATGTAAAGTCAACATTTTTTATATTAAATTTAGTAATAAATTAAATCTGGATATTAAATACACAAACAGGGACGACGTGGTCGAATGGTAAAACTTTTGACAATTAAATGGTAAATGTTATTATTTGGCAGAAACATTACTTTGGAAAAATAAAAAATTAAAATCAGATAGTTTCAGGATTATATAGACAATATTTCCATTATTTCTATTTCTTCAATAACAATGGAAGGTGTAGTCGGATGATAGCGCTTACGACTGCTAACCCGAAATTCTTGTTCGGATCCCGAACTCAAGTCCGAAGGAAGTCCAGGTGGTAATCCAGCTATGATGGGTACCTGAATCAAGTTAGGGAAAGTATAGGTGGTTGGGTAGATGGGCTAACAACACTATTCCTTTCAAATGCCAAGGTAGCTGAGACAGTTGAACTCTACTATGCCGACGACATAGACCGAAATGTTTTAAAGAGTACATTACTTTTTAAAATATATAGTGTCATTTACTAATAAAGGTAAGAACCACAATCTATATTCGTATTATGAGTAAATGTTTTCTTTGATTGATATTCAGTATCATAATTATAAATATGACACTATAACTTACGGTATACAGTTAAGTCACAATGGTAGAGTTCCTGGAATGGAGAATCGTATCCACAGCGCCAAGTACCTTCTTGCGATGGAGAATTTCTACTAATGCTAAAGAGGAAAATAGTACTGTTCCCGTTTTCCCGAACTACGCGGTAGTTTGAAATGCATTTAGTTGAATTGTAAAAGCATATAGCTATTTGTACTTGATTGTGATACCATAATAGGTTTCTACGGTGATCGCTGTCTGTACATTGCAAACTAACATCGGATCCTTCTTCGACCGGCTGACATGCTGTTAGTGCTGGTAAAAAAAATTTCAATGCTTTTTTTATTGTTAAAATAATATATCAGTTAATGTTTAGGCAATTTTAAAAAAAAGCTAAGATTATTAATTTATTCATTTAATTATTTATTTATTCATTATTCATTGATCATTTCTTCTTTTATTCATTATTCATTTATTCATTCGTTCATTGGTTCGTTCCTTCATTCGTACATTCGTTCATTCGATCATTTGTTTATTCGTTCATTCGTTTGTTCATTCGTTTGTTCATTCGTCCACTCATTCATTCATTCATTCATTCATTCATTCATTCATTCATTCATTCATTCATTCATTCATTCATTCATTCATTCATTCATTCATTCATTCATTCATTCATTCATTCATTCATTCATTCATTCATTCATTCATTCATTCATTCATTCATTCATTCATTCATTCATTCATTCATTCATTCATTCATTCATTCATTCATTCATTCATTCATTCATTCATTCATTCATTCATTCATTCATTCATTCATTCATTCATTCATTCATTCATTCATTCATTCATTCATTCATTCATTCATTCATTCATTCATTCATTCATTCATTCATTCATTCATTCATTCATTCATTCATTCATTCATTCATTCATTCATTCATTCATTCATTCATTCATTCATTCATTCATTCATTCATTCATTCATTCATTCATTCATTCATTCATTCATTCATTCATTCATTCATTCATTCATTCATTCATTCATTCATTCATTCATTCATTCATTCATTCATTCATTCATTCATTCATTCAATCATTCATTCATTCATTCATTCATTCATTCATTCATTCATTCATTTATTCATTCATTCATTTACTGACTGACTGACTCACTCACTCGCTCACTCACTCTCTCTCTCTCTCTCTCTCTCTATCACCCTCTCACTCACTCACTAAATCACTCACTCACTCACTCAATCACGACCTCATTGACTCAGGAACTCACGCACAAATTAACGCACTCACTGACATATGTACTGAAGAATTTACTCGTTTATTCGTTCATTCGTACGTTCGTTCGTTCGTGCGTTCATTCTTTTATTCGTTTATTTTAATTTACTTGTTAAAATAACTATTTGATTGACTTATTTAACCAATTCACCAATAGAGTCCTTGCAAACACGTGACCTAAATCACGTGATACCTACGTCCGCCGCCACGGTGGTGTACACCAGACGTAAACACAATCAGCTGTTCACCAGCGCTGGACGCGTTCACTGTATGTAAAGAACCGCACCCGCGGAAAAGGAACAATACGTTAAAAAACTTGAACTCTTAGGAATTGAAGATCCTTATATTGCTATTGACAGTTTCGTGATTGATATAAATATGTGGCCTAAAATTCAAAATAAAATACTGTTAGTAATACTGTTTGCGTTTAGAGTTAAAGTAGACGAATCTGATAAAAGGCAGTAATATATTATAGGTTATCTGAATCTCGTTAGTGTAGATTCTAGATTCTCTAGTTATGTACAATATTTAGTAGCAATAGATCTAGTAGAACCACACTACTGAAACAAGCGTGAGACCACTTTACTCCTACACAACCCACACTAAAACGGCTAATATAATTCATGGGTAATAACCACTGATGTTCTTAGATCTCAGCCAATCTGGGGGGCATGTTATATAATTTAAGACCCTCATAATCCAGCAGGGAAGTGATCAGACACATTAATACTGATTTTCCACCCTCAAAATTTAAAAAACCTCCATGATGGCCAGCCCCCACCTCTTTCTAGCCCACCATAAAACTTCATCTATTTGTAGGTAACGTGGATTACTGTTCTTAGAACCTAGCCCAGCAGAGATAGTATGTAATTTATGACCATCATGGTTCAGCAGGGTTGAGACCAAAGAGGAGTCAGTACCACTGCCCTCCCCTAAAAATTTCTCACCTCCGTCATACATAGCCCCTACAGGGATTACTGTTCTTAGATCTCAGCCAACCAGAGATAGCATCTCTTATATAAGTTATGACCATCAGGGCCCAGCAGGGAGAACAAAGGGAAATAAGTCCCACTGCTTTCCCCATAACATTTCTCACCTCCATGTCATGTTATGTCATTTATAGCACACATGGCTTATCAGGGGAAAGCACTAATCCTAGTTATTATTTTAAACCATCTCACTTCTTATGTTTCTAGCTTGATTTGTTTCTTTTTAAACAGTGGATTAAAAAAATTAGCCTAATCATTAACCTAGTAATAATAATGTGTTTATTTGTTGTTTTGGCTGGTATGATCTACTATTAGGCTACGTAAACTTAGTAGACTAATTAAATTAATAAATTTAATTAAACTCAGTCCATTATCAGAAACATCTTACTGTAAAAAGACACAAAGTAGGTAGGCCTTAGTAATTTAATAAAGCCTTCTACTACAATACTATCAACTACATGCTTGTATAGACTTTTTAAAATTTAATTTAAGTAGCAGATTCTAGATCTTCGTCCAGTCATACAATCGATTTCAATTTAAGATAATTTCGTTTGCTAAAAATGATTAGATTATAGTGCTAGATTTAAGATCTCAGAGACAATTAAATGCTTTATTATAATGACTACTTTTGATTTATTATGGTTGTATGCAGATCTAAATTTTGTAATTAAATTTAAATTATTAACTAGATTCTATGTCTACCCAGCGGAACCAGTCACCCTAAATCCAGAATCTAGATCGAGCTGTGGTCCGAATCTTGTTTACGCCATGTTTAGAACTAGATTCTAGATCTAAATATTAAATCACTATTATTACAATTAAATCTTATGATTCTTATTATTACTTTTGACTTTGTCTTTTACTATTAGTGAAGGTCGAGCAAATTTATTTTATCAACTGTTATCTTTTATAATTAAAATGAAGTTTATTATTTTGCTGTCCTCACCTGAAACAAAGTGTCGAGAACAGATGCGCATGTTATTTGCCGCTGCTTCACTGACACCGCTGCGATGAATATTGGCTAAAAATTGACGGCGTCTACGTTCTGTTAACTGTCGATCTCTATCATCTTGGTTTAATACGACCCTTGGCAGTCGAAATTAAGGAATCCCTTTAGATCTGCCACTTCGAGTATCACAACCTTTCACAGATCACCATTTTTTAAAGTAGATCTGTAAACCGCGTTGGCGGATGTTTACATACAAGAACGGACGTGACGTCATATGCAAGGACTCGGTTGCTTGATGGATTGATTCATTTTTTTTTAATAAATGAAAGAATTAATAAATAATTAACTTAGATAATGTATGTATCGTTAAACATAAACATTATGGTACATAGATACCCAGTAATATTTTAAGTCCAGACTTAAGGTATCTTCAATAATTAATTTTTATAAAAGTTTTCAATTAATTTTCTTACCTCTAGGAATGTTGATGGGCTTGATTCCTTGAATCAACACAATAGCTACTAGCACTAGTTCTATACATGTGCTCATTTTTGCTGACATTGTTTCATTCTTTTTGGCTAGATAAAATGTTAAGTTTTTTTTGTGCATACATAACAATTTACTTATCTTAAGAAAACAAATACATCGAAAACGATGGTCCACAAACACTATGCTCTAAAGGCGACCCCTACGGCGCCCGGGACAAACTTTCAATTTGGCGCCACCTTCCCCCCCCCCCCACCCCCCGGGACAAGCTGTCAATTTGGCACCCCCCCTCCATATATTTTTTTTATTTATAATGCAAAACTGCAGCTAAAATGAGCTTTTAAATTTTTCCAACATATTTTGGCGAACGCTAGGGTCGGCGGCCGGGGATATATGTACCCCCGCCCCCTTTGCTACGCCTCTGCTATGCCCAGCAGATTTTATTTTCCCTAATGTGCGAGAGGTACCCGAAATAGCTGAGTGGACTCGGTGAGTCGAATTGACTCGAGCACAGAGTGCGAACAAGACTTTCGGGTTAACAGTTTAGTTTTATATTCTAAGCTCCAACCACACCATAAAAGATATATGGAATATTATATCCAAGTTTTATGAATGATACTTCCACAAAATGAAAAATAATAATATACAAAACAGATGCTGGTTTGACAAAAACCAAGTCATTCTAATATTTAAAAGTCAAGAAAAATTATTTCAACTTACTAAACAGACTTTATTAAAAGGCAAGTTAGTTTAATAATGATTCTGATCAACTGGGTTATACAGAAGACCATTTAATTCTACCATGCAACAAATATGGAGAGTAGGCTATATACTGTAATCAACAGGCCATAGTTTTAACACTATTGTAAACCAAAAGTAAGTTGTTAAAAGTATAATTATTACTTGCCTGATTCAGCAAATTCAGCAAATAGACATGCCACTGTTATAATGTTCACAAAACAAATAATGCTAATCGAAATTTTATTAATTGAAAATATGCCATGTCTTAACACACAATGATACTACTTAGACTACGTTGCAAATTTTACTACTACTATCAGCGCCTCCCACCACTTAAATACTTGTCAGACGCATAATCTTTCCCATCCACCCTATCACACATTCGCGAGAACTTACACACACATTACAAAGCTGCACAGATACGAAGGGCTGTTAATTTTAATCTAATCTTTTGTTACTTGCTGAAATAAGTATCATTAATAGTATTTTTATTGACTAATTTTATAATACTTCGATGTTAAGTGAATTCAAATAAATCATTTTGAAAAACTTGGATCAGACGGAAATCAATGAGACAGTAAAATTATCATAGGCGATAGCTCTTGAGTTTATATAATGTGTTTTTGTTTTTACAACTGTTTAACTTTATAAAATATCACACAAG